GCTGGTGGACACCAAGTTAAGCATGAGGCAGCAGCGTGCCCTTGTGGCCAGGAGGGCCAATGGTACGCTGGGCTGCATTAGGCAGAGTGTTGCCAGCAGGTGGAGGGAGGTGATCCTGCCCCTCTCCTCAGCCCTGGGGAGGCCCCACCTGGAGTGCTGTGTCCAGTGCTGGGCTCCCCCGTACAAGAGAGACACGGCACTGCTGGAGAGAGTCCAGTGGAGGGCTACAAAGATGATGAGGGGACTGGAGCACCTCTCCTGTGAGGGAAGGCTGAGAGAGCTGGGCCTGTTTAGCCTGGAGAAGAGAAGACTGAGAGGTGATCTCATCAATGTGTACAAGTATGTGAAGGGAGGGTGTCACGAGGATGGGGCCAGAATCTCCTACATTGTGCCCAGCGATAGGACGAGAGGCAACGGGCACAAACTGAACCACAGGCAGTTCCATCTGAACCTGAGGAAAAACTTCTTTCCTGTGAGGGTGACAGAGCACCGGACCAGGTTGCCCAGAGAGGTAGTGGAGTCTCCTTTGCTGGAGATGTTCAAAACCCGTCTGGATGTGATCCTGGGCAACGTGCTGTAGGTGACCCTGTTTGAGCAGGGAGGTTGGACTAGATGATCTGCAGATCAAAGCCTATTCTAAGGTGGTTTCTGCCTTTGTCTTTTATATTTTCAAAAATAAAGCTCAGAATTATTAGTAATCACGTTCCCCTTAATAGGGCTTCTGTACAAGTAATGCAAGTAGATTTTGTCCTTTAAAGTGAATGGGTACATACTGCAAATTCACTAAGGCATGCATTCATTTTTATTATTCTACTGTCTAGTTTCTGAAAGGATGTTGTACTGTGGTCACTTGCTGTAAAGAAGAAATGTCAGATGGGATTTGGTAACTGAGATTTTTTTCATAACTGGTAATTCCATTTAATGCTGCCAAATGGCCCTACAGGAAAAATGTGATTTATGTATTAAAAATTTCCTAGGAAATCCTGTAATTTCATTTGAGATAGAAAGACTCCAATTCAGTGACAGGTACTTGGCCTTAAAGCCTCTGTTAAAGAACAAGGATGTTTTTCTATGGAAGCATAGAAAAAAGAACATGCAATAATGATAACTTTGGGGTTGGGGGTAAGTTAGTCTTTTGTCTAATGAGGAATAAAAGAAAGGGTATATGAGCAAAGAATTGTGGGTGGGACATGAAAGATTCTGTTAAGTGTATGGAGCTATTGATTTAGGTTTTGTTGATGTAGGCCGAAAATATAAATAATAAGTGATCTTGCAGAAATTATAACACTGCCACGTAGGAAGGATTTTGAGAATTTGCAGTAGCTATTTCTTCCCTGTCTTCCCTACTTTACAAAGTAGAGCTGTTAATTTTTAAATTTAAGTTATGTTTCTCTAACACACAGTTGAAACTCACGGTATAATGCCCAAGATTATTTTAGCCTATTATTTTTTGATTTTGAATTGAATAATTAAATAATTGTCTGGGGCAAAGACTTCCACATCATGCATAGCGTTAAGTAAGAGACTATGTTAGGTGCAGTGGGACTTCCTTTGGAAAACCCCAAAGAGAAACTGGCGGTGTTTCTCATTAGGACTGAATTACTTAGTCCTGTTTCTGTGTTTTATGTTACAGCTGAGTTCTTTGGAAAGGAAAACTCTTTCTTTTCCTCAAGTGTCACGCTGAACTCAGAGATTTACGGATGTGAGACTGAAGACTACTGAATCTCTCTGGTCTCATGCATACGTCTTGCTCACAAGAGCAAGCCCAGCAGGATCTGACCTGCTGCTTCTTTCAGGTTCACTGTGCATAGCTTCGTGTGTATGCTGGACTTTACTGGCAGACTTCACAACAGTTTATTCACACTTTGGTAGTATATATAAATGCATGGAAGCAATGCATATGTATAAAGGTATATATCGAAACATATAAATGAATGTTTATGAACTATGTAAGATTTTTCTCATTTTTCTCATAATTTGATTTCCTTTTGTGTCATTGGTAGATTTGTGGCTTTCTTGTTAGGAAAAAACAGCTATTTTAGAATCCAAGTGTTGAAGCAATATTTTAAAAGAGGACAAGAAATCTGATATCACATACTCTTAGTAGCGTTTCAGATAGGTCCCAGATTTGTAAGGACCCTCTGCATTTTAAAGTTCATCAACTCAGATCGCTTAGTTGGCCTTTGCTTTTGATAATGTTGTTACCTGAAGCTATTGCCAGAAATTTTGACTGTGCTACAGTGTTTTGTATATGACAGCCTTGCTGTCTCATGCATTTTTTCACACTCTGAGAATGCAAAATTTCCATTGGGCTCTGTCAGCTGAGGACCTGAGATAGACGCAGATGAATCTGAAGCCTTCTGGCAGTTTCAAAACAAGGGAATTTGCAGGAGCGCTGGCACTTTGCATGGAAGAAATCATGCAAAATTACTTTAGGTTATATGTAACTCAGATGGGACTTCTGTTTTTGTGCATGTATGTTAACAGCAGAAAAATGATTGTATCTCATTTTAGGGCATAGTTAGAAACAAGTACTGGAACTGGGTTATACACTAATTGTCCATAGTGTATGCCTCCCTGAATGGGGCTTCTGCACCAGTTTTGTGCACTAAACTTATGCTTCACCAGCAGCAAGAAGCCATGGAGTACGTACTCTAGCAGTACTGACCTGCCATCTTTATTTTTTGTTTCTAGATGGATGATTCTGGCTTGTTTCAGGTGCTAAATATTCGTGGTGAGCCTTATGATGAAACCTTACAAAGATTTAATCTCTGCACTCTGTGCTACGGTAAGACCCATGTAGTATTTTAAATTCGCAATAAAGGAGAAATACAGAGTTCCTTGGTGAAGAGCAGTGAGATGAGCGAAAGGGCTGATGTTTTCCTCTGGCTCTACAAAACCCTAAGACAATTATTTGTCCTTGTTTCTTACTGATGTGTTGAATTCCCAAAACAGACTGCATTTCCTAAGAGCACTGTATTTCCTCATTATTTGCAGGCAAACTATCATCTGCATTATCATGGCTGCCAAATCCATTTCAAGGGAAAATACTTGCATTAGAAGAATGTTTAATACTACAACTGATGAAGCTTAAAGCAGAAAAATACATCTAGAGTAATTTCCTTGGTCTTAGCTCTTTAGGACCTTCTGCCTAGGATGAATGCTTGCATTCCCATTCAGGGAATTTGATTACCTCTCTGACCGGAATGCCTTGTTGAAAAAAATCCATTTATTTAAATAGCGTCCTGAAAGCGATGTAATTAAAATTATCAGAGCAAGATTACCAATTTCCTTCGGTTTTAATAGCCTGCATTAAAAAGTTGACTAATATTTAAGAAGTTGTAGCAATGGTAATTGGTGCTCTCTTCTATGAAATAAATAATCTTCCAGTGCTGGTGAGGAGAGGTGATAGGGCTAGAGCCTACTTTCTGTCTTTCTACCCTTTTCCTCATCCTTCTTAGGATGAGTCTTTATGGTTTTTCCATGAATATGTAAAGCTGCAGAGTTCCTCTGTGTATTCCTCCCGGAACATACCGTGGTCTAAAAGATAGATGAGCTATTAGCAAGGAATATTGCACTTATGATTCAGCTAATGGCCTAAGATTCATGGGATGTTAGGTCCTCTGACCTCTTTGTGATGAATCCGTGCAATGCAGCAACTCTTAGCACACCTGACGGTTTGGTAGGAAGACTTCCAGTTCTGCTGGAAAATCTACTTGTATGTTCTGGGTTTGACTTAGATTTACTTTTTATAAAAAGCTGTTTAAGCTGTGTAATTGCACAGATTAGCAAGTGTTTTAAAAGTCTTGATTACAGTCCTTTGGGAACTTTAAGAGTATTGCTGAACTTTGACTGCTGACCAGAGCCCTCAATAATTTGAAGGTTATCAATACCACACAGACTCTCTTCTGTGAAGAACATTGTTGTGAAAATTGGTCCTTGTGCTTTCTGCAATACTGGGAAAAATTGCAACTCTGCACATGTCATTTTCTTTTTTTGACACAAGGTGCTTTTTCAAAAACACTTTCCCTGATTTCTTCTCTTAGTGCCGCAATATTTTAGGTTTCCTTACAGAACTTCTAGCAGTTATATTCATGATGAGTACAATCTCTATTTAAATAGCCATTTAAATATGTTGTGACAAGTTCAGAATGTATGATAAATGATAAAAAACTGCTGCAGTTGTTGTGTGTAATGATCTCTGTCATAACAAAAAATTTAAGCCCCTTATCAAGTACATATCGAAATAGATAGGACAGTTTTTATTTTTTAGTGATTTAATGGGAAGTAAGGACCTGGTTTCATCTTGCCTTCTTTTTATATATGTCCAAAAATAAACAATTATAATGTAATTAACTCTAAACCTGTGATTGGTTTTGAAGCTGTATTTGAGTTACATAGTTCATCCCCTGTGATTTCAATGGGAAATAGTGCAGACTGATTGTCTTGCAGAACCTACTGCATAGTTCTGTGCTTTAAGTGAGCCTTTGTTTTCCTAAATTGCTTAGAAGTCTTTCTAGTGGTTTTGTTCCCTTTTCTTTCTTTTTTTTTTTTTAATGGACTAGCCTGACACTTTAGAGCTATGATCACATTCATTTTTACATCTTTACTTTGAGAATTGTCAAAAAAATGCTAACTGATTTTACACTCTTTTGCAGACAAATGTAACCCAAATGCTTTTTGTGAACGTCCCAGGCCCCGTTTACCAAGGGCATATGTGGATGCTGCATTCGTTTTGGATAGCTCACAGAAAATGAGTGGCGCTGAATTTGAGAAAGTTAAAGACTTCATAAGCAAAGCAATCACTGTATTCAGCATTTCCTCTGATCCAAAAACCTCTGTTGTAGGGGATAGAATAGCTGTGGTGAGCCACGCACTACCAGATTTCCAACCGGGTACAGGGAGCAGGCCAGTAAAGAAAGAATTTGACTTGCTTACCTACAGCAGTGAAGAGCAAATGAGAAAATATCTTAAAGAATCTCTTCATCAGCTCAATGGAGAGGCTGCTGTAGGCTACGCCATACAATGGGCAATGTTTAATATTTTCTCAGACATTCCCAATCCAAGGCAGCTCAAGGTTATTGTCATTGTATCTGCTGGAAAAACAAGTCAATGGGACAGGAAAACACTAAAGAGAATTTCCCGGGAAGCTAAGTGCCAAGGCTATGCACTGCTTGCAATTTCACTAGGAAAGTCCTATGACAGAAATGAACTGGAAGAGCTTGCAAGCACTCCTCTGGAACAGCATTTGGTTCAGCTCGGCAGAATCGACAAGCCAGCCCTTGACTATGCGATGAAGTTTTTGAAGCCGTTCATACATTTCCTCAAGAGTAAGTTATCACAACATAGGTGTTTTCTTGTTTTCCTGTGACTTTTCAGTGTTCCACACAAGCACTGGATGGGTAAGACTGCAGCATACTCATGGATGTGTGTGGCATGGGAGTTGCATTCATTCCCCTTTACCAGAGGTCTTCAGCCTTGTTCTTTGGATAAAACCAGAGGTTATATCCATGCTCCTTCATTCCATGAGTCTTTAGTTTGATGACAGGTATCTATAAGGCCTGTTGTTTCACAGAGAGTTTTAAGCAGGAACAACTAATGCAATGGAACTGGCTTTGATACCGAAAGAAGCCCTGCTAAAACTGCCTTTGCCATGCAGTGCAGCTGCCTGTCTCAATGTGGAACACTGCCCCTTTTCTTTGTCTAGAAATATCCCTGATTTTGAGATACAGATATTTGGCTATAAATACGTTCCTTTCAAATACACAAACACCACCAGCTTTCTCATGCAGAGAACCCTAGCCATCAGATAGTTAAGGATTTTTCGTTGCCTTTTTTTCCTAACATCAGTGAAATCTATGGCTTCTAACAGGATACAAAATCCTCAATGCAGTTCTTTGGGTGACTTCAACCTGATCACACTATAGATTCAGAAAGGAAAATGTGTAGGTAAAGGGGAAAAGCAGCCATCATCATGGTTGTTTAAATACATGCCAGAGGAGAATGCAAATGGGAACTGAAGTCAGTGCTCAATCTGTAATGTGTATATGGAAATCCTGTTATACTGGTGGGAATTAGAGGAAAGAGTTGGCTGTCAGCCTAAATGCTCTCTGCTTTACTGGAAAATTGGAGTGGAATATTAAGAACTGTCCAGCTCCCATTAAAGATCAACTTCAGCTGGCCTTCAGTGGGATCTAGGCACTTCTGCCCCATCAACCACCTTTGGAAGTCCCAGACCTGGATTTTTGCCTAACGTTAAAAAAAAAAAAACATTTGTCTAATGAAAATGAGAACAGACTAGTGATTGCCTCTACAAAGCGAGTGATTGTAACTCTACAAAGCAAGTTATATTGTGAATGTAGACCATGTAAAAAGAGACCAGACACTGTCATTTTCAAAGACTTTGTCAGTGGCTTTTAGCTGAGCAGTCAGAGTAACCTACTAAGGAAATATGTGAACAAGTCTTCACATTCACTTAAGTTTCAGTGTATTCACATCCTTCATTTTTGCACTGAATTCAAGTCAATTGCACTTTTCCCATGAATGGGTAAAGAATGAGACCCCCACAGCATTCATCTTACTATATATAGTGTTTTTGATATGTGTATAAAATTAATGAGGTCCCTTGAGTTGCAATTATTCTTGCCTAGCAGGCAAAGCTTTGCCAAAATCTCCTAAGTCGCACAACACTAACGACTTTTGTTACCATCTTCTGAATAGGTAGCATCAACAACTACCCACCAGAAGAGCTCAAGGCAAAGTGTAACAGCTTCAGCTTTCAGACCAAAAGATCTATGTAAGTCTGTTGCATAATTATTTGAATATCTGGGGAATTAATGGTGAACAAGGTGTACTTTTGAAGCATTCTCCTTGTTGAGTGTTTTCAATGAGATTTTGTGTTTGGTTAGGTAGAAATTTGTTTAAAAGGCAAAGAGTAGAATTGGAGTGTAACAAACTTTAGAAATGGACAATATATCATGTTATATTTTAAAACAAGTCTAAATATTTGGGATAATATTAATATATATCCCTGATATTATTTTTGTGTTTTAAACATAACTTTGTACTCACCTAGAGCTGTGCATTATGCGCTCATGAATATTTCCAAGGGCCATAATATATTTCAACATAAAATTCCTGCTTTTTTATTACATGAAGACTTAAATGTAATGAGAAAGAAGAAATAAAAACTGAGGAAGTCAGTCACTGATGGCAGCCAGGTTTGTGATTCCTCCTGTGAAAATCATCGGTTGATTGTAAAACTAAATCAAAGCACAGGGCTCATGTTTCACTGCTGCTTTCTGTGCAGGGCATCAGTAGGGAACTGCCCAGCAGGACACACACCAGAACAGTGCTGCGCAAGGGCTGTGAGGCCAGTTTTCACCCTTCTGAGACCTGTGTCCGGGTCTTCAAGGGAAACATGAAGGCAAAAGTCATCTCCAGGGTTACTTGGGGCAGTGTTTCCTGAAGTGTAATTAAGAGCAACCCCAAGGTTTCTGAAGTTTTCCTGGTTGGTACTACTGTAGAGCCCATAACAAACTCTGTTATGCAGGCAGGCACAATGTCACCTCACATCTACTTGTTATGACAGCCTTAGCATGATCCTAGAGCGGAATTTGAAATCTCATATTAGAAAAAAATGGTGTTATTAATGAGCAAAAAGAAAACTTTTGACGTTCGTTTCTCCTGCTTTTGGAAGGCTGTGATTTGAAGATAACAAGAATTACAGAATATGTAAGAGGCCTGTTGCAACAGTCATTTTGCTTTGGTAACATCTACCAATATCCTTTTCCGGTTCTCTGGATGAGAATAACAGAATAAGAATTTAAAAATGACTGTGCTGGGAATACAAAATGCTGAGACTAAAAGTAGGAATTCATGTAGTTAACTTACTACAGGAGTTTTGAATGAGCTAAATGAGCTTTAATGATGTTTGCTCTGATATGCTGGCTACTGGTTTTTGGCTGTAAAAGCAAACTACATTTCAATACATGCATGCAAATTCATCTTTGACTTTAGGAGCTATACTGGAAACATTAATTTACGAAAACATTTGTTGAAGTTAGAATGATATATGGAAAATGGGCAAAGATGAAGGATATTTTTAAAATGACAGCTGGTCTGGAAACACAGGAAGAGTGGAAAGCGTGTTCTTTGCAAGGATTGCCTTATAAAGCATGTACATAAGCTATACTATACTTAGGACTGCGTGATTATTAGCGTTCTAAATATTTGTTTATTTTGGAACATTACAGGGCAGAGAATCAATTGCAAATAGGTGTATGAGTGACTCTTCACTTTACAGGCATTTTTACTCCTCTCTTTAGAGGAGTTTTTGGAACATGAACAGTGGGACTATGGCCACTTGATTTCATGTGCCTATGAAAAAGTTTAGAGCTGTATATGTATGCTCAAATGCTAAGCTTGTTTTCAAATAAAGGTAACACAGGAGAAATAAGCTTTCAGTCCTCAAAGACCCAGGTCCAGGCACCTGTGAGCAGTAAAACGTGAAAATTCAAGAAAGAATGGCACACAAAAAAAAGAATTCATATCCACCTGGGCACAGGGTGTGAGGCCTTTCACAGAAGTGTTAGCAGCATTTCAAGGGGCTGGGAGCTGCTCTTTTGTGACACTTCTGGCGATCCCTGGTGCCCTTTAGCTGGGGTGTCTTTTTTCATTGCTTCTTTGGACTACTTGTTTGCAAGGCTACTAAGCACATCAGAGAAGCGTTCTTTAATTCAGAGGTGATGCTGATGCAAAAGAAGTCCCCGATGCTGCTGAGCTTTAAGCACAATTGCAGCCAAGAGATGTGAAGAAGCAGTGATGAGCTTTTGAACACACGGGTTTGTTATCCATGAGCCAGAGAGGAGCAGGAAGCAGGACAACCAGAAGATACCTTAATCAAAAATAACTAGAGAAGCTGGCTGAGGGTTCTTGTTTCTGTTTTCTTACATTTAGAAATATCATCTCTTGTTTGTAACTGCCCTGTTCTCAGTTTTCTGTAGCTGCAGTTTGCAGGTAAGTTGCCTTGGAGCATGGCTAATAGTAGCAGTATCACTGAGTTGTAAGAATCAACGTTGTTTTTCATTCCT